GACACTGGAGTTATGGCAGAAAGAACACGTTCAAGAGAAGTCCAGGAAGGTCAAAATGAAGTCTCAACTTTGCTGGAAGAAAGATTTCTCAAATGACTGATCACCTGTCACTCAGGTGAGCTACAGAAAACCAGGAGTAGCTCAATGAAGTGTGAAATGGTCATGAAAGCAACAGGCCTCTAGATAACTTGAAAAAACAGTGGACCAGAGGTAGACATCATTCAGGTAGTGACTGAGCTCCTACTGTGTGTAAGGTCCTAGAGAAGGGATGTTCCACCGACAAACTAGTTCTCAGGGAAGACTAGAAGGTGGGCCTTGATGTAATACACTCTCAAGTAAATGTGAAGTCACTGTGGAGATAAAGGCCCTGGAGGAAGCACAGAGGGGAACAGAGGAAGGGGCAGATGAGGCAGCTTCTCTAGCCCAAGGCTGCCTGGTATGAGCTGTGGCTCATGTGGGAACTCCTTCTTTTCAGGGATGCTCATTGTAAGGGGTGGAGGATGGCTATTGCAATTGCTGTGTTTATAGACAATGGCATCCTAGGTCTAGAAGGGACTTTGGTTGTCTTCTAGTCTATTATTCATTTTTCCCCATGCTAGAAACATCTCTACAGCACCCCTACTGGCCATTGGTGCAGGCATTTCCAAGTATAGTAAATAAAGACCTACTATTCTGTTTCCATCTTGTGGTTCCACATCTATGGATCCAACCAACCACAGATCAAAAATATTTGTAAAATCAAAATTGAACCTGTACTAAACACGCACATATGTTTCTGTTCATTAGTCCCTAACCAATACAGTCTACTGAGTATTTACAATGGCATTTACACTGTGTCATGTATTATAGCCAATGCAGGGACTAGTTAAGGTACATAGGATAATATGGGTAGCTGTTCCATTTTCTATAAGGGATTTGAGTCAGCACATTTTGGTATCTATGAGAGATTTTGTATCACTTCCCCGTGGATTTCTAAGGAGCCACAAACAACTGTATGATTTCATATGACTTCTTCAGGCACAAGTTAGAAGTTGGGGACAAGGAGCTTGGCATACCCAGCAGTCTGAATAGAAAACAGTGAATCCCAATTAATGCCCAAGGGGCAGAAAACACACAGGAGCTACCAGCCTTCCAACGACCCTTCCAGAACACCAAGGACAGGCTGCCTTGGGGGACACCTGTACTTGGGTCAGACAATCTCCCCGATATCTGTCCTCATACCAGTTCCTGCCCACACACTCAGTTAGCAGTGGGCTGTAAAATCAGTTCCACTACTCAGAGTTGATTTGGACAGTAATGCCTGCTGTGGTGCTTTGATGTAGCTGAAGCCAAGATGCCTGTAATCACCACTAGCAAACACAGTCCCTGATTCCACCTGCTCCTTCCCCAGCCCTGCCAAGCCAGCCAGAAGTCACCTAGTTCTTCTACTGCCACCTAGTGACAGCCACCAGTAATTCTACAGTTTTTAGGGAAAATTTTAACTGCACTCCAAAAGAAAGCTTGCAATTTTCTTCTAGCGCTCCACTTCTACTAAAATTAAAACCCATTTAACTGTGAAAAAATTCAAAAGATATGCCCTGTAAGGGATTAGTCTTCACTTTCAAAACCCCCAAAATTGTATGATAGAGGAAGAATACAAAGGTGATGGGGTGGTGGGGGAGGGGAGGGCAGCGCAGGAGTGGTGGGGGAGAGCACTAAAGATGTTTGAGAAAGCCATATGGAAGATTCCTGTATCAGTAGAGTTCTCTAGAGGTACAAAACTGATGAGCTTCTGTTCCTCTGGAATAAGATATATATAAACTTTATATTAGAGTGGCTTACAGTTTGTAGTCCAACTATTTCAACAATGGCTGTCTCCTGACAGAAAGTTCAAGAATCCAAAGCTGTTAGGTCCAGAAGACTGGGCATCTCAGATTGTCTTCAGCATACACTGGAATCCAGAAGAACTGGGCTCTAATATCAGTGAAGGGATGAACTTGCCAGCAAGAGAGGGCAAGCAGGCAAAGAGCAAGAGCTTCCTTCTTCAGAGTCCTTTCTGTAGGCTGCCTCCAGAAGGCGTGGCCCAGATTTAGCATGGGTCATCTCACCTTGAATGATCCAATCAAGAAAAATTTCTCACAGTTACGTCCAGCCACTGGAGTTTTGGTTAATTCCAGATATAGGCAAGTTGACAAACATGAGCCATCACACCTACTATATTATGGAGTGAGTGTGTGTGTGTTTATTTGGAGTTATACTTCAGAAATTTTTTCATTTGAAATTTTTTAGCTGGCTTTATTTTTAATCAGCTGAAATTTCACATGTAATCAAGTGTGATTTTTTTTTCCTGGCCATTTAGGACAGCTAAAAGATCTGCTTTGGCCGGGTGGTGGTGGCGGCGCATGCTTTTAATCCCAGCACTCAGGAGGCAGAGGCAGGCGGATCCCTGTGAGTTCAAGGTCAGCCTGGGCTACAGAGTGAGTTCCAGGAAAGGCGCAAAGCCACACAGAGAAACCCTGTCTCGAAAGAACCAAACCAACCAACCAACCAAACAAACAAACAAAAAAAGATCTGCTTTTGTCTGTGTGACAATTCCAACCTCTGGTAATCTCAGGATTGACACACCTTGTCCTTTTCAGGGAGAATGGTCTGAGTTTCATATGCCAAATGAGTGTGGACAGTGTCTTGAGCACTGTGACTATAACCTTGTATGGCCTTTGGGTCTTTGTGGAAGACTGTTTTAGCAAGTCACCAACCTGGTGTGATTCAGACAACAATCTCATTCTTGGTTTCCTGTGAGTGGTAGTGACAATCCCACTTTGATTTTCCAAGGCTTTGCTATTTTTGTGTGCATCTGTCCTGTTCATAAACCTGAGACTTGAGGTTCAAGCACAGAATTAAGGAGAGTTCTTTCTTTAAAAAAAAAGATTCATTTTTTTATGTGTATGAATGTTTAGCCCAAATGAATGTCTGTGCACCGTATGTATGCCTGCTTGGATGCTCTAGAACTGAAGTTACAGATGGGTGTGAACTGCCACATGGCTGCTGGGAATTGAACCTGGGTCCTCTGGAAGAGCAGCCATGTCTCTTAATCACTTAATCACTTAATCTCTCCAGCCCCCTCATATCCACTCCTAATTTAAGGATTCTCACACAGTTGCTTTCCATATTTTATACAGAGCTTTTGGGCTGTAAGGAATAAGAGGTTCAGGCAGTAGCTGGCTTCTGGGGTGTGTTGTTACCTGAATCTGCCTGGTTTCTTAATTGAATTTTTGGTACTTCATAGTCATTTTACTCTAGAAAAGCTCCACTCTCTCCGTCTTAGGATCTCGGCCCGTGAAAACAGCAGTAGTGATCTCATCTTATTTCATCATTTCCAAGGGATAAAATATGATGGGCAATCAGGCACTAGTAATTTGTTAATAAGCATCAATGGTTATTTCTCTTCACATTTTCATAAAACTGAATACTGCAGGCTAAGATTATCAGAATAAAAAATTGGGACTTAAAGTATCTGCAGGTTTTGACATGATAGTTACCTGGAACCTAACTGTTGAAAGAAAGATAAAAAAGTAGCAATATTTTAGTAAGCAAAATATCCTATTGTTTTTTATCTGCTGTACAGAGGCTGCACCTGAACCTACCACTGCTTCAGCTGCTGACTGCGCCTCTGCAGCCACTGCCACCTCGCTGTTGAGGCCTCTGCCCGGGGAGCCTTCATGACCACCACTGCTGCCTCAGCTCACTCCACATAGGGAGGCAAATACTGTTTTTGACTAAGTATCTTTTTCTTATACCAATAAAGACTCAAGAGTCAGATGCTGGGGTGAAAGCCTGCTAGCTCAGAGAGGTAGAGAAAGCAGTTGGCTGACTTTTCTCCTTGGCCATGGTATCAGAAAGAGGGCTCGCTCCTACACCATCTGAAACCAAATGCCTCCACCTGGATGTCCCTCCCTTCTACTTCCTGTGCTTCTCTTTCTCTGACCACCCGACTTCCCCTCATTCTCCATGGTTACTTCCAGTCAACTGATTGCTTGCTCTGCCTCTTGACCTACAGTTGATTTTTATTTAAATAATGCAATCTCAGGCTCATAGTGTGATCAAATATCCCACAACATTCTATGTCAATTTTATGGACTTCAACTAGCTCATCAAAGGTCTATCAAGAGACATGGATGGCATTAATCAAAATGTCAAGTTAGAAGGTTAGGTATCTTACAGGTGCCTTACAAAACACCACACTAAAGAATGAGGATTGTAAAGCCAATGAGGAACATTGCTTTTCCAATGACATGACCTATTATTCTTGTCTTGCATCTTGAGTAAACTGTGTAGGTGTGTATTGGAGAAGGGGTGGTGTGGTGGTTTGAATAAGAAAGACCCCTCAAAGGTTCATAGATTTCAATGCCAGGTCATCAGGAAGTAACATTATTAGAAAGTGTGGCCTTGTTGGAGTAGGTGTGGCTTTATTGGAGGAAATGTGTCACTGGGGGAGAGCTTTGAGGTTTCATATGTCTCTCTCCTTTCCTGCTGCCTGCAGATCTGGATATAGAACTCTCAGCACCTTCTCTAGCACCATGTCTGCCTGCACACCACTATGCTTCCTGCCATGGTGATAAAGGACAAAACCACTGAACTATAAGCCAGCTCAAACTAAATGTTTTCCTTTATAAGAGATGCTGTGGTCATGGTGTCTCTTCACAGCAATAGAAACCCTAAGAGAAGTGGATTCTTATTTTTTTTCCTCCTTTGCCAGATGGTTGGAAAAGAAAATGCAACTCAAAAAATACTTCAAGTTGGTGATCTAAAGACTGTTGCTGTTTGGCCCAATTTACTTAGTCACTATGTGTGGATGATAAACTGCTATAATGGTGTCAGAGATATGATCTCAGCCTGAAAGGCTGTAAACATTTTTCAAAACAGCTCCCCACGTACACTACCCTGGGGTTCACGGCAGCATCCATTCATGTTAAGCAATGTAAGACTTTCTATTGCCGAAATCCCACACCAATTCTTAAGGCTTGATTTATGAAAGTTTTTATTTGTCAGTGCTGTGTGTCATTCTCAACATAATTGCTGTTAGTCAAGGAAAAGACACAGTGCAGTGTGTGTTGTTCAAATACCGGAAACCGGAACTCGCAGCACACCCTTCCTCTGTGAAGTCTAACTACTGCGGTGGTCTTCACAGCTTTGCTTTTCTGGACATGAAGTTCATGAGTGCATTGATGCATTCCTCTGACAGCCACCGTGCTTGGAGGGTAGTGCACTCTTCGGCATTAATGGCGTGGAGCTTTTCTTTCTCATTTTTTCTGATTAACTCCTTGGAAATTCTCATGGACTGATGAAACAAAACCAGCAATACGTTATTCCAACAGGAATAAGATTAGTCCATTCTTGCCCTCCACGGTAATGAATGTATCCTATTAGATTTTACTGAGACATATAAAATAGAGTACACCTTTAATATATACAGAGAGGACACTAGTATTTGTGGGAAATAGGTCTTATTCCTGCACATTTCCAAACAGCCCTAGATGCATACAAAGCTTCTGGTTCCAGGAACACACACTCACCAGCAAGGATGGAAGAGCAATACATACACAAACAGAAGTGCTATAGAGTGAGGATACTAAATATAGCCAGCCTCCTCACCTCCCACCTGAATTCCAAAGTCAAAGAGCTGGGTGTCTACTGGCATCCTCCTGGAGTCACCCCATGAAGGATCTCCTATTTGCCCTGTAGCACAGAAATGCAATGTCTATCTGCTAAGTTCTTTGTAAAAAAATTACTATTCCCAACAGTAAAGTAACTTTTAATACAAAATCCAGAGGTGCTCAAAGCAACTGAACACATGCCTTGTCTTTTTAGGATGTGTCCTCCTAAGGCACATTTCCCCCTTGGGAAATGATTTCCATGTCCCCACAGTGAAAAACAAATACTAACGTTTGGCGGGAGCTTCGCATAGGCTTTCAGCCTGGTCCAGACTTCGTTCTCAAAGGTGCTTTCCGGAAAAACTTCAGTGACAAGGCCTTGAGCCCAAGCCTCTCTTGCTGTGAGCTTCTTGCCAAAGAGAAGCATCTCAGTTGCCTGCAATGCAAAGCAAGATGTGACCCTAGCTTACTAAAGCAGGGCTTCAGTTGACTTCGGGACAGTCAGCCTCGGGGAGACACAGATGCACTCATGGCTCTTAAGGTCGCCTGTCTCTCACAGACCAGGGAAGCTGATGGCCTTGCTGGGCGAGGGCGTTCAAACAGCTGAGGCCATAACCGGTTCTGTCTCTCCAGAAGCTAGAACAGCAGATGCTTCTGTGAGGGTCTGCCTTGGAGAGGTAGGAATGGGAAGCCTAGGGCAGAAATGACCTGAACCATAGTGGCTATTAAACATTGTAAATGATAACCAAGCGGGGGGGGGGCATAAAAACTACATCCACGTGGTCAACCTTTGAGGAAACCAAAATCCATTCCTTACTAGTTGTCCTAATGGTTGAACTTTGAATGTCTTCGTTCTCTGCACACACTCAAATGACTTCTATGTGGATAAAGAAAGGGACATGGGGATAGCTTACATTGCATTTCTATAAGAACCGAGGCCAATGAGCAATTTTCTTTCTATAGTTGCATTTTCTTTTTTTTTTAAAAAAAAAAAAAAACAACAACCATAAACAAATTTCAAATGCTCTATCTCTGAAGAGCTGGTTCTGCCCAACTTTTCAAAGCTTAGCTGATTAAAAACTCAGGCTCTGTGACGACAGCACAATGAGGTTAAAGAAGTGTACGGACACGTACTATATACGTGTGCACGTGGGGGGCATTCACTACACACCATCTAATAGTCACCAAACAGGCTCCCGCCACCACACTGAGATGGTGACCAACGTCTGCTGGGTCCTTCCCTCTGTCCGTCTCCAGTCCTCACTCAACTGGCAGCCAAACCACGAAGGAAAGAAAACACAACTCGCACAAAAAAAAAACAAACCCAAACCAGACCACCCCCCACCCCACCAGGCGAAGCACAGCCAAAAAAACAACAAGAAGACAGCTCTGGCTGGGAGTCACGGGGACTACGACTTCATGGGGCTGCCAAGAGCCGGCAACTTCTGCCAATTCACATGGCCCCAAAGAGAGGATGTCACCATGTCATCTCAGGGGATGCTGCTCATTCACACAGTTAGGTGGCTCTGAGCTGATCACATCTGTAAAGGCTTCCTAGTCTTGGGCCTTCAAGGAATGCCACACAGCTGTGGAGGACAAGGTCTTGTGCTGCCACCAGTGCTCCAGCTCTAGGCCACCAGGTGTCAGACTCTGTCCCTGCATTAGGAACTGCAGAGAAAATATCCTGACCCCTGCCTTACATCAGATCCCCCCTTAGCCGGGTTCCTCCATGTTGCTGAGCAAATAGTCACCCTGCAAGCTTTGCCCAAGGGAAGGAAGACAGAGTACAGGATTGCCTTGGCAACAAAGATGACAGAAACACTACACTTTAAGTTTTTTCCAAGTTACCTTTGCTGAACCCATTATCTTTGGGAAAGTGTAGGAGGAGCATGCTTCTGGGCTCTGGCCGAGGTGGCTGAACGGAGTATGAAATGTTGCCTGGTTGGGATGGGGAAAAAAAAGAAAAGCATTTAAAAATTACTATTTGATTTCAAATCCACAATTTGTATGTTTGTATTTGAGACAGAGTCTTGCTATGTAGCCCGATCTGGCCTGGAACTTAACTATCTGAGAGAGATTACAGGTGTGGACCACTATGTCCAGCTCAGTATTCTTAATTGATGAGGACATTTAAATTAAAATTATGTGTTATACTATGCGCACACAATTCACTTCTAGTGTGTTATTAATGGAGTCTCACAAATATGTAAATTATGTTGCCACCAACAATTTCAGCAGAGAAAACATTTACTACCCCAAAAGTCCCCTAATGGTCCCTGTGGGCAATCCCTTCACTATCTGCTCTCTGTCCCTTCTGTCTTGCTCTTTTCTAGAATGTTACATGCACGGAATCCTAGATACAATAAGACCTGTGTTTCTCACTCCTGCCACTTGGCATAAGGTTTGGGAGTCACTCATGCACTGCAAACTGGTAGCCTCTTTCTCATTACTGTTGTTTTTACCATGTGTACATGCCAGTTAATGCTTTTACTAATGCCTCCAGTACTGTGGCCATCATCAGTAGGGTCAGTCACAACCATGAACTTGCTTGATATAATAATACATTTCCCACTTGTCAATAATACCTCAGTGAAGCTGAAAAAAAAATCCTTTTCAGATTTATTCTATCAAAAAAGAAGTAGTTGTGTGTAGAGTGGCTGTGCCATCAACATTCCACATTGAGAGCACCACCTGGTCCATGTCCTTATTCAGCTTTACTAGGAGAAGTCCTTGTAACCTAACCATGTCACTATGTGCATAGTGGTGCCTCATGTTTTCAGTTTATGTATCCTTTATGACTAGTGATGTTGAGAATCTTCTTGTACACTTATTAGCTGTGTGTAGTAGCATCTTTGATAAAATAACTGCTAACATG